AGCGAAAGATTCTAAATCTCGCTTAAGTGCCCAGATATGCTCGTGAAGGGCTTTTTAAGGAGATGCCACTGTAGGATTCGTATGTCAAGAGCGAAAGATTCTAAATCGCGCTTATGTGCGCAGCTATGCCCGTTTAGAGAGGATCAAAAAATGATTCCGAATCAACCAACATAACAAGAGATAGGGCTCTCAATTACAATCACAACATGGTTCAGCTGATCCCAGGACAGGTGGGCCCTTACATTATACAGTGTTCAAGTATATTATAATCTTCGACTTTATAAGCGATCTTCCAAATTTCTACAGATAGCTAGGCAGTCTTAGACAAGTGTTTTAAAGGGATTTTAAGAAAAAACACTTGAAAGATAGGATAAAGATATTAAAAAATTGCTAGAATTGCTTTAGACGTAGGTCATAATCTACTGAAATAAAAACCATTTCGCTTGACTGAGTAATCTCGTTTCATTATTATAGAGATGCGTAGAACATAAAGAATATTAATTGTATTCCTCTCATGTTTATCAATTTTTAATAAATTCTAATGGAATTCCTTCACAATATCGAAAATTCCATCCATTAAATATTTGCAAATGCATATTTGGGAAATTAAATCTGTCGCCGTTGTACCCCTTATTCAATTTATATGCTGTCTATCGAGTTTACGGCTAACAGTAAGGGGTGTTTTTTCGCTTTTATGCAGCAATAAAAACTGAACACAACCCTTAGATTAACGAAGATAATACATTGCATGAAGTGAGTCAGTTTCAACTGAATTGTTACATAATAGTACATTATGCTTTATTTGAGTGCTGGCTCTTGAAGAATTGTGACTCATCATTATAACAGTCTGCAGGGGCATTAAGTGATAAATGACTGTATCGTATATCTAATAACTGTGTGCAGGAATCAAATCCTTGAAAATATTTAAAGATAAATATCTGAAAGGCACGTGCCTAAGGCTAAGCACGAATACGTAATACTTTCATTCTTTTTTCCAAACCACAACTTCGGTTTATGAAGTAACCGCAATTTTGCAAACGCGAAAAATTAACCCGCAAATAGAGTTAATACATGTATTCTGAGGGAAGGGTATTTCTACTCTGAATAATTTTTAGTTTTTACTTTAGTTGAAATTAACTAAAATTTTGAAATTAACATAAAATAAGTAAGAAAGTTATATTCGGCGGGGAGCGAATCTCGCATACCCACCATTATGCTTTTCACATTCTACTCTCCAAGTTCTTTTGTTTGATACCCATATCGCTGATATATTAAGAAAAACTAATTTACGCTTCACTGCGCGCTTCTACTCCGACCAGTTTGGCCAATGCCAATATGCGTTCAGAAACTTTGGATGTTTCTATCAAATTTGAAGTAAATATCTTCATTCTTGCGACCAAGAGAGTGCCAACAGCAGACGCCACGCAGACACAAAGACGGACAGACACGACTAAATCAACTCAGAATTTCGCGCTGATCAAAAACATATATACTTTATAGGGTCGGTGACGCTTCCTTTTGAGTATTACATACATTATGGAAGAAAACAAAATGAATGTACCCCCATCTTACAGTGTTGGGTACAAAAAAATAAGTTAGAACATTATAGTTGGGCGATTCCGTCCATCAGATGCACGGCACCAATACGTCTCGTGCAGTTAGTTATTCTCGGTTTACTAATAATTCACCAAACCTGACACAATAGTTTTCATGCAAAAACACATTTCTCATGATAACCCGCGTTTCGGAGAATATCCAAAACGTCACATGACGTGGCCCAAATTGAGCAAAATTTAACTTACTTACTAAAAGTGTTATTATTTTTCAGTTTCTGTCCTAAAAATAGAAATTAAACTTTCTCTCCATATAAAGGCTTGCTCATCACAATAGCTCCTATCTGCGTGAAGGTCATTAAAATAGATCTACGTGATCAAAATTCACCGCCGTTAATTTTTTAACTAAATTACTGCTATGCACTTATTTTCATCATAAATACTAAAAATGAAATCTTATATTGAAGATCATTTCATTCATAGAAATTCTGTATTAATTATGTCCAAGAAATAGGTCCGAGAAATAGAGAGATTAGTTCAAATATGGTCCAATATAATGAACCAATTTTCACCATGAAGTATTGAAAATTATAACTTTTTACCATATAAAGACACAGAAACGTTTACGTGAGAGGAGGTTCAAAAACTGGTCCCCGCAAAACCAAATTCTTCGCGCCACTTTAGAATGTCGAAATACTATGCCCACAGCGAGTTTTGCCGAAAAATTTTGAAAATTGCGGCTTTTTCCATATAACGACTGTTCAAAATAGACCATTATATTAAAAGCGAAAAAAGTAGACCGATGCGAACTATTTTCAATAGCGTTCGTCCCTGGCACGTTAATCTAGAAAACTTCATCAAAATTTCCTCCAAATTGCGACCTATACCTTGACGAACGGACGGCCGAACAAGGTCAGGTGCAATAAAAGGTGGATCCACCGCAAGTCCTTCTTTGTGCTACATACATTGGCACAAGATTAATGTACCCTCGTACCGCAAGTGTTGCAGAGTGTACCAAATATGATATTCAGTAAGAATTTCCACAAAAAAAAGGGGGACATAGACAAAGAGTGAGAGAAAAAGAGGGAACTCGTGAAGAACTCTTTTCAAGACTACAGACTTTGCAGAAATTTTGTTTAAAATTTAAAAAAAAAAGGAGAACAAGTTTTCAATATGAATCACTCTTATGCAATTAGTCTCTGTGCAAGATATTCGATTTAAGAACGGATGCGATTTTATGTGATTTACACTTATTCAAAGCGGACAGAAAACGAAAAAAATTGAAATTAAAATCATTTAGTGGTTGATTGTTATTTGAAAAGCCGTCGCAAACCAGTTAATTTAATTCATTTCAATTAAATATGAATTCAATTTTTGCATAACGATGACAACATATGCTCTACGTAATGTGCCTTATATTAAGATATTGGATTAAATGGAAAGTATTAACTACTTTAGACGGCCGGGAACGCCTAAATCAAGAATGTGGAAAATATTAATTTCGCTCATCCATTTTTAAGTTTAAGAGCTATTAATTAAGTATAGCGTAAACAACACGCCTCCTAGATAAATACAAAATTTTGAAACTGTATATTCACGTCCATCTGCCTGTGTTCCATTTCTTATCGGTACCGTTCACTGATGTGGATT